TTACTGTTAAATCTTCCAATACATGGACATGGTATAGCTATGTATTTACTTAGATTTTTTATTTTTTTCATCAGCATTTGTAGATTTTCAGCATATAGATTTTGTAGGTGTTTTGTTAGATGTATATGTAAATATTTCTCTCACTCCCCCCCATCTCTGGGGTAACTATAAATGGTATTATTGTGTTTTAAATTTTAGTTTCCAATTGTTTATTGCCAGTGTGTAGAAATACAATTGAATTTTTGTATGTTAATCTTGTATCCTGCAAACTTCCTAAACTCATTTATTAATTATAAGTTTTTTTATAGACTCTTGGGATTTTTTATGTATATAGTCATGTCATCTGCAAATAGAGACAGTTTTATTTCTTCCTTTCCAATCTATATCCTTTTCTTGCCTTATTGCATTGGCTGAAATAAGAGTGGTGAAAGAAGACAGTCTTTTAAAAGAAAGGTGGCCATGCCTAGCCTGTGTGGTTCAGTGGTTGAGTGTGGGCCTATGAACCAGGAGGTCACAGTTTGATTCTGAGTCAGGGCACATACCCAGGTTGCTGGCTCAATCCTCAGTAGGGAGCATGCAAGAAGCAGCTGATTGATGATTCTCTCATCATTGATGTTTCTTCCTATCTCTCCCTCTCCCTCTCTGAAATCAGTAAAATAAAAACAAAAAGAAAGGTGGCCAGTCTTTTACTATTAAGTATAATGGTAGTTGTAGGTTTTTTGTAGATGCTCTTTATAAGGTTGAAGAAGTTTCTTCTATTCTTTGTTTGCCTAACGTTTTTTAAAATCATAAATGGAATGATTAATTATGTTGAATAGTTTTTCTCCATAAACTGAAATGATCATATGAACTTTTTCCTTTAGAGTGTTAATATATATATATATATATATATATATATATATCTCAAAAGAAATTTTATTTAAAAATACTTTACAGCCCTAGCCGTTTGGCTCGATGGATAGAGCGTTGGCCTGTGGACTGAAAGATCCCAGGTTCCATTCTGGGCAAGGGCACATGCCCGGGTTGCAGGCTTGATCCCCAGTAGGGGGTGTGCAGGAGGCAGCCAATCAATGATTCTCTATCATCATTGATGGTTTTTTCTCTCTCTCTCTTTCTCTCTCTCTCTCTCTCTCTCTCTCTCTCTCTCTCTCTCCCCCTGCTTCTCTGAAATCAATAAAAAATATATTTAAAAAAATACTTTACAGACATGGATGTTTGAAAAAACTCTTTAGTTAACTGTATATAAATGAAAAAATTAATAAATAACATTAGTATAACAGACCTGAACATGAACACACTGGCAAAACAAATGGACTTAAAATGGAAATGAATCTTAAAGCTCTGCTATTCCCTGTATGAATATTTACCTGCTGTTTTTCTTATTTTTTACAAGTGAGAAAGATTAAATACTATGAATATAAAGTTTCTTATATTAATGACACACTTTTTAAATAGCCAACAAAAATCTCACCTACGCTTTCTGTTTAACTTCCACACTGATGCACAAAGCGAGGCATCAGCTCTCAGCCCCACCCAGGTCAAGAATGTTAAGTCACAAATAAGGAGAACCTCAGAGAGAACTGTTTCTATCCCCACATTCTTTATTAGTTAAAGGCAGGGAAGAACTCAGAAAAGGGAGAGAAAAAAGTAAAATGCTATTACATAGAAAACATTTTTTTTTTCCTTTCCCCCCTGAAACCTAGTGGTCACAATTCTGAAGACAGGCTCCTGGTCACAGTTCTTGCTGCCTTTTCCAGGGAAAACTCGATCCCCAGAGAGGGCATTCACTGCTTAATGCTCTAAGTCTGAAAGCTTCCGACAAAAGGGAGGCATGATGTGGTAGATATGTTAATTGGTTTTCTTATATTGCACCATCTTTGAAATCAGCTTCACTTGGTCATGGTTTATAATTCTTTTTATATATAGTAGTCCCCACTTATCTGCTGGGGATACATTCCAAGACCCAAGTGGCTACCTAAACACAGATAGTACCAAACCTTATATATACTGTGTTTTTCTTTCATTTTTTAATCTTTATTGTTGAAAGTATTACATATGTAAAATAAGGGCTACCTCGACAGTTGATCTGATAACCAAGACGGCTTCAAAGTGACTAATGGATGGGTAGTTTATACAGTGTGGATATGCTGGACAAAGGATTGGATCACATCCCTGGAGAGCAGGAAGGCGAGATTTCATCACACTATTAAGAGCAGCACGCTATTTCAAACTTATGAATTATTTCTGTAATATCCCATGTAATATTATCAGAAGCAAGTTGACCATGGGCAACTGAAACCTTGGAAAGTGAAACCAGGGATAAAGGGAGACTACTGTTGAATTCAATTTGCTAACATTTTGTTGAGGATTTTTGCATCTTTGTTCATGAGAGATACTGGTCTGTAGTTTTCTTCTTTTATATTTGTCTAGTTTTGACCTCATGAAATTAGTTGGGAAATGTTCCTTCCTACTCTGTTTTCTGAAAGATATTGTGTATATAATTCGTGTTATTTCCTTCCTACTCTGTTTTCTGAATATTGTGTATATAATTCGTGTTATTTCTTCTTTGGTAGAATTCACCAGTGAAACCATCTGGATTTAGATATTTCTTCTTCTAAAGGTTTTTCTTAAAGCTATTAATTAAATTGATAGTTATAGGGCTATTCAGAGTATCAATTTCATCTTGAGTGAGTTTGGTTGGTTGTGGTTTTCTAGGAATTGGTCCATTTCACCTAAGTTGTCAAATTTATGTATGTAGAGTTGTTTGTATTATCCTCTTAGTATCTTTCAGTGTATGAGGGATCTTTAAGGCTATTCCTGCTTTCATTTCTAATAATCATAATTTGAGTCTTCTTTCTCTTGTCCCCTCTTTTTAGCCAGTCTTGCAAGGTCAATTTTATTTATCTTTTCAAAGAACTAGCTTCTGAGTTGAGTTTCTTTTTTGTCTTTCTGTGTATCATTGATTTTTGCTCTTTATTATTTCCTCCCATCTTATTGCTTTGGCTTTATTTGGCTCTTCTTTTTCTAGTTCCTTGAGGTAACTTAGATTATGCTTCCCTTCTTTTTTTTTTAAAAGAGAATCTTTTTAAAAAAATATATATTTTACTGATTTTTTTACAGAGAGGAAGGGAGAGGGATAGAGAGTTAGAAACATGGATGAGAGAAACATCGATCAGCTGCCTCCTGCACACTCCCTACTGGGTATGTGACCACAACCAATGTACATGCCCTTGACCGGAATCGAACCTGGGATCCTTGAGTCCACGGGCCAATGTTCTGTCCACTGAGCCAAACTGGTTAGGGCTGCTTCCCTTCTTTTAAAAATACTGAGCAGTTGTTTCAGAATACTCCTTGGTTCCCAGAAGAACTATTTACCCATTAAAACTCAGCTCAGGTGTCACTTCTGAGGCAGAATAGGGTTGTAGCCAGCCTTTCCTCCTCACCTACTACCTTGCCCTCCCTCATTACCCTCCAAACTGGTGGTTAATGAAATAATCTGAAGCTAAAAAAGAGAACTATGGGATTTAACTAGTGCTGAGAGTTCTTTCTAACCTGCAGTAAAATAAGGTTAGACTCTACCCTAGGCAACTAGAGAGGGGCCTGGGGGCCATAAAAATTCCAACTCACTTGTGTAGGCTTCCAGTTTACAAGGTTATATTGGACTTCACAACTCCATGGCAAGACAGGAATTACCCCATTTGAATGATGGGGAAACTCAAGCAGAGCGTAGTTCGAGATCCCCAATGCAGGCCTAACGCATTTCCAGAGGGAACTCCAGAAGCTGCACCAATCTGGGCAGAGAGCTTCTCCCCACTGGCCTTAGGGAGCCAGGAACACACACACCCCGCTCAGTGCTTCGCCTTGCCCAGCCCGCCAGGGGGCGCACGTTCCTGCTCCCAGGTCTCGGGAAGCCACCAAAGAACCGGTGGGTGATAGTTGAGCGGGGTAAGTTAGCGTACCCCGAGGGAATCGTGAAACCTGGGCCTCATAGCTTGGATCCCCAAGGGTGGGCCTGGGGTCAGGCCGGCAACAGGCAAGGGAGAGGGACAGGTCCCCGTGAACTGCCGGGGAGCCCAGGGACGCTGTCCTCTGTCGAGGGCCACCCCTCACCACTCAATGCCCCCCTCCGTATTTGGGCAACGGGGACTTTGGGCGAGAGTCCAGCTCCGTCAGGCCTCCTCTGACCAGAGCAACTGCGATGGATGCAGGAGCCCAGACTTGTCTTTAGCTCCTTTGCGATCGCATTCTTCTGCATTCACTGCGTTCCCTGCTGTCATTGCCAGAGCCTCACCCACATTCTCCACGCCCCTGGAATAGCCGCTTTCCCCACCACCCCCACGAGACCCCTCTCTCCCCCCAAGACCCGCCGAGGGCCAGGAACTTGGTCTGGCCCAGGGTAGCTGACGCTCCTCCTCCTCTGACCTGGTCCCGCCCCCTGCCCCTGGGCCCGCCTCCGAGACACGTGGTAGATCCGTCCTCCCGGAAGCCTCGCGTTACTCCAACGCCTCGCGCGGTTGCCCCAGCGGCTCTTGGTTAGGGGCGGGGAGCACGGAGGCCGGGAAGGCGGTTCGCGGAGCTCGCAGAAGCCCGGGGTCGCCCGCGACCTGGCGTTCCTGTTGAGCGCCCCTTTCCTTCCCTCCTTCGGGTCTGGGGTCCTGGCTGCACCCTCTACTAGGCCGGTTGGCACAACGCGTAAGTGACCTGGCGGGGAAAGGGCCGCGTCCGCAAGGGGGCCATCCTGGACCCGAGAGAGCAGGCGCGAGAGCTGGGGAGCGGGCGGTGGAGGGGCTTAGGTTGGGGCGATGTATGAATGAATAGAGCCGGCGGTGGCGGTGGAGGATACGCGGAAGCTTGGGGGTAATGGGCGGGGACTGAGGCCGGAAGCGAAGAGGGGCATTGAGTGCGCCCCCTCCTGGTTACACCTATTGGACAGGAAATGGAGTAGAAAAGGAAGCGAAGTGGCTTGTCACCCCTCACTGATCTCGTCTTTTTCCCGCCAGGGCACGCACCATGGCAGAAAACAGAGAGCACCGTGCGGCCGTCGAGGCTGAGCTGGATCCAGTGGAGTACACCCTTCGGAAGCGACTGCCCCACCGCCTGCCCCGGAGGCCCAATGACATCTATGTCAACATGAAGACTGACTTTAAGGCCCAGCTGGTCCGCTGCCAGAAGCTGCTGGACGGTGGGGCGCGGGGTCAGAACGCATGCACTGAGATCTACATTCATGGCTTGGGCCTGGCCATCAATCGTGCAATCAACATTGCCCTGCAGCTGCAGGCGGGCAGCTTCGGGTCCCTGCAGGTGGCCGCCAATACCTCCACGGTGGAGCTTGTTGATGACCTGGAACCAGAGACTGATGCACGAGAGCCGCTGACCCGCATCAGAAACAACTCGGCCATCCACATCCGAGTTTTCAGGGTCACACCGAAGTAATTAAAATGAGTCTGGCTCACTTTGTCCAGCCACCCTCAGCTAGGCTCAGGTATGACTCTCCTTGTACTGAGTACTGTCATGGACCTCCTGCCAGAGCCAGGAAAAGCCTGTCTTCTCATAGCCCAAGGGATTCTGAATTGAGACGGGGAGTGTGTCTCTTGGGCCCAAGCACTAGGCCTTCCTGAATCTTTGTGGTCTGTAACCCACCATTGTCCTAGACAATAAAAAGTATCGAGTTGTGTTAGTGTCCATCCACCCCACTGCCACTCCTTTCCCCTGTGTAAAGTCTGTGTGTGCTTGAAAAGAAGAGTAGGAAACCTGGCAAGTATGTCAATGTAGGAGGGAAACTTGAGGTGCCTTCACAGAGAGCATACATTGTACTAGGGAGAGTGTAACAAACTTTAGTACAATGCAAAAGCATGACAACCCAATGTTTGCCTTAAAATTTCTCATTCGCTCAGAGGCAGGCCTAATGGATAAGGTGTACACTTTTGCCTGCTGAATGCAGCTGGGATAGTTGTATGCTCAGAAGCATCAGGCTCTGGTAGAGGTTCCCAGGCACAGAAAAAGTGGAGGTTTAAAAATGAAAGAAGCAAAAACTAGGGTCTCCTTTGTATCAGCCTCTGGTAGGGATTGACACATGGCTTCATTCATTTCTTGGTCCTGCAGAGCCCAAAGTGTTCTAAGCAACTATGGTCCAGAGCCCTTCAGACCTTTCTGGCTGGGCTGCTCTGTGGGAAAAGAAAGCCTCTCCCCTGAATCACTGGGCGCAGAGAAATACTTTTCGTTTGGATATTTTTAGAAAGACCAGATTTCTCATGTTTATCAAACTAGAGTCATCTAAAGCAATGTGGTTGGTGATCCATTTGTAGGTCTTGAAATCAATGTACTGGATCATAGACTTAATAAGCAAGTAGAGTCCTAGCTGGTTTGGCTCAGTGGATAGAGTGTCAGCCTGCAGACTGAAGAGTCCCGGGTTTGATTCTGGTCAAGGGCACATGCCCAGGTTGTGGGCTCGATCCCCAGTGTGGGGCCTGCAGGAGGCAGCTGATCAATGATTCTCTCATCATTGATGTTTTTGTCTCTCCCTTTTCAAAATCAATATTTAAAAAAAAAAAACTTCAACCCTCAAAGCAATAAAAAAAAAAAAAAGCAAGTAGAAGAAAGTGCAACTTAAATGGCAGTGTTGTTGCCAATTTTTTAGTTAACAATGTGTTTACATATACACACTAGAGACCTAGTGCATGAAATTCTTGCACAGGTAGGGTGTCTAGGCCTGGCCAGCGAGGCCTTCCTTCTGGCTGCCGGCCGCCCCCTGGTGCTCAGCACACATCATAGTGAGTAATTGAATTCCTGGTCTCCCGGTCGAACTCCCGGGGGGACAAGTTGCATATTAGGCTGTTATATATATAGAAGATATGTAGTAGGTACATGAATTGTTTTACTGTGGTTGAAATCAAGTTTGAAAGCATCTGATTTAAAGGTTAGTAACAATTTTATTTTAGTTCACTTGAAAGTAGTTTGATTTAGGTTTTGAAAATCAGGCTTCTCATTTATTGAAATCCCTTCTGGCTTGAGTATTGATGAGGGACTTTGATGCTGGGTGAGTGACTGCCAGTAAAGTGGATTCCTTACAAAAGGACCAGTGCTTCAGTCAAACAACTAAACATGTGCTGAGTACCTACTGTGAGCCAAGGCCTGGGTTGGGCCCTGGAAATACAAAGAGGTGGATATAGAATGGCCTCTGTCTTCAAGGAGCTCATCATTTAATTGGAAAGGTGGATATACAGTTTTTGTGAATGAGGAAGATGTGTTATAAAAGAATTAAGTAGTCATGATATGGAAATGTGGAAAAGGAAATGCTAACTTCCTGGTGGGGTCCAAGATGGTTTCACCTTTGACTTGGATTTTGAAGGATGAATAGGAGTTTGCCAGGCAAAAAATATCTGGGTAGAGGGGTTGATATGCACAAAAGGGGTTCATGAACAGGCAGGACATGTTCTGGGGCTGGAGGGTCACTCAGTGGCTAGAAAGCAGGAGGCGAGGGAGACATGGGAGATATTCCTATCACACCCTTTACCCGCATTTCCCTATCATCCTTGATTGCAAGGCTCCCTTGCCCTGGAGCCCCCCAGTAGCAGAGGGAGCTGGATGGAACTATGTGTCTCCCTGCACGTATGTGTTCTTGTGTCTATGCTTCTGGCCTGGGCCCAGCTGAGGTGGTGGCAGGCAGCCTTTTGCATTTGGTTTGTTTTGGCAGCTATGTCTCCCAGCCTATTTGTTTGTTGTTTCTACTCCATGTTCTCTCGCTGCTTGCCAGTGTGGCTTCCCTCAGTGGCAGTTTTATAGAAATAGCCCTTAGACATTGGATGGTGTGGGGGCTCACCCTTGAGTGTGTGGGGGCACGTAAAGATGAGGGGAAGACTTCTGCATCTATTGGAGTCCATGCATGGTGGGTGGGGCCAAGGAACTCCATCCCATTTGTAGTGAGGCTGACTCTGGCTTCTGTCCACCCTCCATCCCCAACTTCTACTGGCTCTCTGAAGTGCCTTTCATCAAAACTAGGGAAACGGGGGAAGGTATGTCCAAATGCAGTTTCCCTCCCTTCTTTTTACTCAACAGCTGCAGAGCCCACAATGAGTGCATAATAACCTCCTACTTCAAAAACGTCCTCAGAGGCTAGAATTCAAATGCTTAGCTTGGAAGTGGGTGTAGACATTTGTTCAACATCCATAGCCTTATTGAGCATCCTTTAGTTGTAGGGATTTGTGTTAGGTGCCAGGCCTGCCTGGAGAGGTCTAAACCGTTGGTCCTGTAAAGTCTAATAGGAAGCAGGACAGATAGACTTAAAAAGACAAACAATTTGACAGTGCTTGGAACTGTCTTGGTGTTTGTAAAGGCTACTATTGTTAGTATGACATTTTGCTAAGGAATGGTTTGGAGCCTCTTAATGTAACTAGGGAGAGGGGAAGGAAGGTGATTTGTGTGTGTTTGATTCACAAGGCTGGGTTATTAGTTTTGTCAGCTTTTCATTGTGGCTTGCCTGGTAGGGAAGAAGGCCCTCAGGACACATGAACTGGTTTGGATGGGCTGATAAGCAAGTCCCATATTATGTCCCAGATGAGTTCCTGATGCTCCCTCAGGAGTTGGGGAAAGAATGGTATGTTCCACACACCTTTTTTTTGTTGTTGTTAATCCTAACCTGAGGATATTTTTTTCCATTGATTTTTTTTTTAAGAGTGTGGAAAGGAGGAGGGATGGAGGGAGGGAGAGAGAGAGAGAAATATTGGCTTGAGAGAGACATTGGTTGGTTGCTTCCCGCACTCACCGCAACCCAGACTAGGGAATGAACCAGCAACCCAGGTACATGCCCTTGACTGTAAATCAAACCCGTGACCCCTCATTGAGGGGGATGATGCTCTAAACACTGAGCACACTGGCCAGGGCCCACATACCCTTTTGAACCTATGGAGAAGTTGGACTAGAAGTATGTGTCCAGTGCAGTTCCTTAGGGAAGGAGATGTCCACCTGCACAGAGATTTGGAGTGAGGCCAAGGTCATCCCACCAAGAAAGAAGTTTGTGAAAATGACCACTTAAGACTCCATCTTCCTAATGACATTATGGGTGGTTTTTAATTTATGTTTTTTGGCTTAGCCATGTTGTCTAGTTTTTCAATGGTCATGTGTGTTTTTTCTTAATGTATAGTATTATCTCTTTTTAAAAATTGATTTGAGAGAGAGAGAAAGGGAGAGAAACATCGAGTTGCTGTTCCACTTATTTATGCATTTATTGGTTTTCTTGTATGTGCCCTGACGGGAGATCAAACCCATGGCCTTGGCATATTGGGACAACACTCTAACCAAATGAACTACCTGGCCAGGTCTGTATTATTTTTGTAATAAGAAAAGTTACAGCCCTGACCGGTTTGGCTCAGTGGGTAGAGCGTCGGCCTGCGGACTGAGGGGTCCCAGGTTCGATTCCGTTCAAGGGGCATGTGCCTTGGTTGCGGGCACGTCCCTAGTGGGGAGTGTGCAGGAGGCAGCTAAATCGATGTTTCTCTCTCATCAATGTTTCTAGCTCTCTGTCCCTCTCCCTTCCTCTCTGTAAAAAAATCAATAAAATATATTTTTTTAAAAAAGAAAGAAAAGTTACATTTTTACAAACCCTGTTCTTTTGTTCTCTTCTCTATCTGGGTGGGGTGATCAGGGAGCTAGTCATCAAACTGATGAGATAATCTCAAGGAGAAGTGATTTCACTGCCCAGTCCAGTGAGGAATAAATACCTGATGAATGGACGGATGGGTGGGTGGGTGGCTGCACAGTAAGACAGCTTGCTGTCTACTCTGTAACAAGCCTCTGCTCCCTTGAGAAACATCAAATGTCTTGTCACTGGAAATATGCAAGCAGAGAGCTTCATCTTCACGGGACCTCCTAGGTCCCTTCCAAGTCCATGCATCTTGTTTGCTGCAAGAAAAATGTACTAAATACCTGAAAATACTAAAATTGTTTGCTGGCTCATGAAATAAGACATGAACAGAAGTAGGAAGAGCCTGTAGGACCACCCAGTAGAGTTCATGCAAAATCCTTAGTCCCCAATCTCCATGTTAACAAAATGAAGCTTTTGTATTCACAATTGTACACCTGTGAAGACCTTACATGGGAGAAAAACATTACTCCCATTAATATTGCAAGTAGTGTTTGGTTTCAATTAGGACTTGCTAATTTTATTTTTGCTTGGACAGGAAAGTTACTCTGGCCAATTTAGTAGCTCTGTCTTCCGATATAGGATGGGTGATGTGGGAAGGGGCTTAGGAATATTCAGCGATGCTCGTGAGCTAGAGATCCTAGGATTGGGCTGACACTTTTCACAGAAACTTAACTGGAGGAAGTGGTTCTGGAGCTCGAGATAGAGGTACTGGTGCTCTGGGAGCGCTGCTGTAAGGACTCAAGTGCTTAGGGGATTCAAGAGGCAAGTAACTGAGAAAGATGGCCTCATAGTGCTTATCTAGAGTGGGCCCACAGGCCTCACTCAGTCCAAGGGCTTTGAGCTTCTTTGGGGACCCACATTGATGGGGCAAGAAATTCTTGGTTGGCCCTACTTTGAATAAACAAAGTTTGAGTCTTGTCTTGATATCTGTGTCTTAACCCATCTCCAACTCCCACAGGGACTCCGTTTCACTCAGTTGTATTCAGGGGCAAGTGTCTCCCAAGTGCAGTCACTGTGCCCAGCTCCCCAGAGGGAACAGTAAAAGATGTTGGAGGAAGGTCAGAGAATATGCTGGGGGTTTGGTCTCCCGGCCTCCAAAGTGAGAACAAGTAGCTGGTATAATAGAGCAGAGAGCGTAGAAATCATAGTTAGCATTTGTTGATCACCCTATGTCAGGTATTACATAATCCCACCTCAGCCCTGGGAAGGGATTACTATGATTTTCACCATCCCCATTCTATAGAAACAAGGTTCAGAGATAAAGTCATAAGTCGGTGGTAGCTAGTAAGAGGCAGAGCTCAGGCCACCAATCTGGGCTCCCTTGTTTACTGAACTACCCCTTTAGGTTGTTAGGTTACAGTGCTGCTTGCGGAGAACAAAACCTGGATCTGGTTCTGGCTACTTGTGGCCAAGAAAGCAGCCCTTGCCTCAATTTCCCCAAATTGATCTTTGCACAGGATTTTCTTTCTCCGGCAGGAATCCCTTCTCCAGCATTCTTGCTCCCTTTCCAGCTTCCCAAGGGCCAGGAAGCCCTCCCCCACCCCATCCTCAGCCACCTCACTTCCCAGCACAGAAGGTCTTCTGGGCCACTGGCTGAGAGTCAAGCTGAGAAGCAACTGCTTGGAAAGCAGGGCAGGAGGGGCCCAGAGCCCTCCCTCCACTCCCCCTTATCCCCAACCCCACTCCCGGCAGCTGGGGCTTCATGCTGCCTGGGGTCTGGGACAGCTCAGGGGGGCTGTAAATTTGCTTCTCCTTGGATTTTCAATCTGAATTGGCTGCCAGGAAGATTTCATGGAACAGAGCCTGTCTCCACCCCCGCCATCCTCTGGTCACAACGGTCCCTCTCCAGATCCTGCCTCAGTGGCTGTCTTTACAGGAAGTGGAGGGAGGCCTCTCAAGCTCCCAAGATCCCAGAGCTAGGTTGTCCAGGCACGGCTCTGGCAAGCACTCTGAGGATGAATGGCTTACTTCCCCTCTCTGTGTCCATCTCTGGCTGAGGTGTCTGAAGTGGAGGGACCACATAATGCAAGCCACATATAAGCGATAGCCTTAAACAGGAAACATGTTCAGTGCCTCATGAGTACCAACGTGAACAAGGCCTGTCAGACACTGTCCTTCGCTCTCTGCTCTGATGAACAGGGCACCTGTGCTGCATGACTCCAGAGAGTACCATTCCCATCAGAGTCTATGGATGGCACCCCCTGCAGTTGTGCAGTGCTCAACCTTGACAGTTGTACATGGTGGCCCTGCCAGTGAGAGACCTGAGACATATACGGATGGCAGCACAGAGGAAGGAGACAACTTCCTGCTGGGGGACAGGGAAGGTTTCATAGAGGAGGTAATGCTTGGGTCTGGTCTTTGAAGAACAGGGGCGAGAGTGTGGGCAGGTGATCAGGTGGAAGGCATAGGTTGAGCAAAGGGCAGGAAGCTGAAAATCATCTAACTGTGTTGTGTGATGAACAAAGTGGGAGAACAGGCTGGAGGGTAGTTGGATGGCAGAACACAGAGGGTCTTAGTTCGGAGGCAACCAAGAGCCATTGCAGATTCCTGCTCGGGAGTGACTCAAATGAGGCTATTCCATAAGAAAGGTAGTCTAATGGCAGGGTTGGGGATTAACTGGAGGGTCAGTGAGGAGCCTGCAGTGGTCCTGGGACTGAGTCAGCACCATGCCAGAGGAATAGAAGCAGGAAGATGGAGGGGGCGTTGGGCAGGAGATGGTGAATTGGTGAATGTTGGAGGGAGAGCCCCAGGTAGCTTCCTGTTTTCTTCCTTATCCTCAGGGTCCCCTGATGAGGACAGATAGGTGGACCCTGCTGGGCAGTACCCAAGAACACCTGGGTTGAAGTTGTCCTTTGAACCAGCCTCTGCCCTCCTAGCAGGATTCCACAGTTTAGGGAAAGCTGCGATCATAGCTTTCTCTTTGGAAGCCAGAGGATGAGCCAGCACCACCCCTGTCCAGAAGGCCCAGCACCTGTGCTCATGACCCATCTTCCTTCCTTTCCTGAAGGTAAGGGCCTCTGACAAATTGCTGTCAGAGGGGAGGGAGGAGCAGGTCCCACAGCCCAAGAGGCTCCTCCTCTCCTCCCTCTCTTCAGGCTGTGTCCCCCCCCGCCCCCCATCTGTTCCTGGTCTCTTCGTGGTCAGGTCAGGACAGTGACGCAGGAGTCGGGAGTTGAGGACTGAGAGAAAGAGCCTGGGGGTTGGGGGTTAGGGACAGAACACATGTGCGGACGTGTTTGGACGTGAGTGTGCATGTGCTTGTCTCACAGCTGGAATCTGGGAAGGAAGCAGAACTAGGTTCTGAAGGCCAAGCGGGGCTGGGAGTCTGCCTGGTGCTGAGAGGGAAACTGGGACCAGAGGGTATAGTGGGGCGTGCAGACCCACACCCAGTACACCTGGTTCAAGGAGGGCTCCCAAAGTAGGCTCGAGGTGAGCTGAGGGCAGGAGAGCAGAGTGGGAGAGAGTCAGGTCCTCATTACTTCCGCCAGAAACACGGCACCTCTCCATCTTTCTGACCCCTCTTTGATCATGCTCTCCCCCCACCCCCTTATGTCTCCCCTCACCTCATTCAGGTCTTCTTCATTCAGGTCACCTCAGCATGCGTCCCTGCTTGCCTGATCTAAAATCGCAGCCTCTTCTAACACTCCTGTCCCCCCTTCTGTGCCTGTTCTTAGTCCTTATTGCCATTGGAGATCCTCTTTTATTCATATTTGTGTTTGCCATCTGCCTCTACTAGAATATTAGCTCCACCAGGGCAGGCATTCTTGTCTGTTCATGCACTGCTCTATCCCCAGGTCCTGGCCAAGAGTAGGTATTTATATGTAGATTTCTTGAATGAATGAATATTTATTTCATTTTTAAAAATTTTCTCACTGAGGCTATATTTCCATTGATTTTTATTTATTTATTTTTTGAAAATATATTTTTATTGATTTCAGAGAAGAAGGGAGAGGGAGAGAGAAATAAAAACATCAATGATGAGAGAATCATTTTTTCTTTTTTTAATATATATATTTTATTGATTTCAGAGAGGAAGAGAGAAGGAGAGAGATAGAAACATCAATGATGAGAGAGAATCATTGATCGGGTACCTCCTGCATGCCCCATATGGGGGATCGAGCCTGCAACCTGGGCATGTGCCCTTGACAGGGCATCAAACTGTAACCTCCTGGTTCATAGGTCAATGCTCAACCACTGAGCCACGCCAGCCTAGCTCCACTGATTTTTAGAGAGAGAGGAAGGGTGGGAGGAGAGAGAGAGAGAGAAATATCTTAGAGAAAAACATCAATCAGTTGCCTCCCGCAACCGAAGTATGTGTCCTGACCAGGAATCGAACCCACAACCTTTTGGTGTATGGGATGACGCTCCAACCAACCCGGCCAAGGCTGAATATTCATTTCTTGAAGAAACAAACATTTCTTTAAAAAAAAAAATAAAGATTTTTAGAGAGAAAGGAAGGGAGAGGGATAGAGAGATAGAAGCATCGATGAGAGAGAAACATCATAATTGGCTGTCTTCTGCCGGCCCCTTAATAGGCATCAAGCCCAAAACCTGGGCATGTGCCCTAACTGGGAATGGAACCATGACCTCCTGGTTCATAGGTCAATTTTCAACCACTGAGCCATACCAGCCGGGTGAAACAAATATTTCTTGAATGAATGAATGAACATTTCCCAACAAAAGCCAAATTCTTTAGAGTGGCATTCAAGGAACCTGACCCCTCCCTAACCAGCTCTCTGGTCTGAGCTCTACCTCTCCTTTCCGTACCCTAGGCACCGGACCCTCCTTTCACGTTGCTTAATTGGCCTCCCACACCCACCTCACATCTTTTCCTATTGAAATCCTACCTGCCCTTCAAGGCTGAGCTCACTGTCAACTCCTCCATTACCGCTTCCTTGACTTCCCCCACAGGAGCTCACCCTCTTCCAAACTCTTACAGCTCAGCTCAGTCCTCCCACACTGCCCCGTGTACACACCTTATCTCTACGGTAAGCTGCTAACTCCACCCAGGAGACAGGAGCTCGGTCTCAGCACATCTTTTTGTCTTGCAAAGTGTGTAGTCAAGTGTCTTGCATAAAGAAGGCACTGAACACATGAATAAAATATTTCTAATATCATGAGACCAGGTAGGGAGTGAAGGAACTACCTATAGGACTTTGCTGTCTTATGAAACCTGCACGAGGTAGGCCTGGTGCTTGCCTTGTACCCATTTGACAGGTGAGGACACAGGCTCAGGGGCTGAGGCCCTTTTCTAAGGTTTGAGAGCCAGCCAGCCTTGGTCCCGGCTTTAGGAAGATTGCTCTCCTAAAGCCACCTCCCTGCCTCAGGGCTTCCTACAATTCATCAAGGAGTAGCTGCAACTCCCAACTGCCAGCGCTCTGGGGGTTAGCTTTATTCCAGAGTTCCTAAGAATTCTGCCACACAGGCTGGCCTGTGTCACAGGACAAAGAAACGATGTCGCAGTGCATGTGTGTCCTGCAGAGCGTACCATGTGATGTGTGCCCTAAAAGTTCAATTCCTGGCTTTTCGGGGTCCTAGAAAGTGAGGAGGGGGGAGAAGACCCCCACATTTCTTGCTCCCTACGCCATCAAATCCCTCAACACGAACAACACTGGTTCTAGAACAAGTACAGGGGCGGTGAGAAGAAAGGCAGCTCACTCGTCCCTGCCAGCACCTTCCCGGCTTCCCGATCCAGCGCCTTCGCAGAAACCTAGGCACTTCCAGCTCTGAGGCCCCGCGCACGACCTGCGTGCCCCCCAGGGAGGCGCGGGGGCCCCTCGCCTTTCCCAGAGTGGCCCTCCTTCCAGGCGCAGGCGGCCTGCCCATCCCGCGGGTGCACACCCAGCGGCACCCCCGGAACCGGGGTCAGGCGGGCAGACGGGTACTCCTGCACCCGCGCCTGCCGCGCCGCGCCGCGCCGCTCCCGCCCCGGCGAACCCGCGACCCAGGCGTCCTGCCCCCTGCTCTGACCTCATGGCCCCCACTCCGGGCGACCACTCACGCACACAGCCTCCCCCCACCCCACACACACGCACGCACACAGGCAGATAACAGCCCCGACCCCCCGGCCGCAGCCGCAGTCCCCGGGCCAACGCCGGCCGGTCGCCTCGCCGCACGTCTCCCCGGACGCTGGCCCTGCGCTTGCTCAGCCCGACCCCCGGCGCGGCAGCCCCTGGACAGCGAGCCCCCTCCTCCGGCCTGTGGGGTGGCCCAGCCCCATCGAGTTTCCCGGGATGAGGGCTCGGGGCACGGGCGCCGGGCGAGCCCCTGGTCGCTGAACGGCCCGGCGGGGCGCGGAGATGGGGGCGCGCGGTGAGTGTCGCCCCGCAGGGGAGCTCCCGCCCGGCCCCTGTTTGAGAAGGGATTTGCCGCCAGGACTGCTGGCCCAGCGGTGGCTGGGTTCAAGGACCCACGACTTGCCGAGGGACCCCGGAAGGGCAAAGGGGGTGGGGCAGCCTCCACGTGTCGGCCGGGCTTGGGGAGTCCCCGGGAAAGGCGGAAAGTGACCTGGAGACGGGGACGAGGTTTGGGGGCTCGAGGGAAAGAAGAGCTGCTATGTGGGTGGGGAGGAAGCTGCTACCTGCGTCCTGGAGCCACCAGCGGGATCTGCGAGAGGGGAAGCCTCTGGCTCAGCCGGATTGAAGTTTGGCCCCAGGAGCGGAGCCGGTAGCTGGGGGGTGGGGTGTGCGCTCGGCCGCAGGATTGAATGAAGGCGCAGGAGGCAGAATCCGAGCGCTCGGAAGATCGGGGTTGGGAGGACCAGCCCAGGCGAGGAGCGGGGTGTGTGAACCGGCCCCTCCAAACTCACACTTCTCCTCCCCGCCCTTCCTCACACCAAGCCTGGCTCTCTTTCCTAGGATGTCCTGCCTCGCTGCTCCTGCTGTCCTTGCTGCTGCTTCCCCTGGGCCTCCCAGTCTTGGGCGCCCCCCCACGCCTCATCTGTGACAGCCGCGTCCTGGAGCGGTACATCCTGGAGGCCCGGGAGGCTGAGAATGTCACGGTGAGACCCCTTCCCAGGACAGGGCACAGAGTTCACTGGAGGGGCTCAGGGGCCTCCTCCCAAATCCAGGAGCCTGGACTCATTCCTGGCCCTGGGTTCAGGCTGGAGGTGAGAAGCCAGCACCCCAGTAAAATTGATAAAACCCGTAGCCCCTTATGCACACCTGGGAGCTAGGTAAGGGGCAAAGCCGAGGGGCTGTGGCCCCCGGGCTGGGCTGAGAGCCCTCGGGGCATTGACTCCCTGGGGTTGTGCTTCTAGATGGGCTGTGCTGAAGGCTGCAGCTTCAGTGAGAATATCACCGTCCCAGACACCAAGGTTAACTTCTATGCCTGGAAGAGGATGGAGGTGAGTTCATTTTCCCTTCCTCTTGGGGAGTCTCATTTTGGAAACCTGATAAGGCCAGGAGGGAGCAGGATAGAGACAGAGAAGAAATGGAGGAGCAAAGATGAGGACTGCATGGAATATGTTCATCTGTTCATTCATTCATTCCACAGACCCTTTCGCACGCCTTCTGTTCGTTTGCTCAGCTTTGTGCTGAGGGTGGCTGACAGGGAGGAATAAGGGGTGGCTTGGGCCCAGCTGACTCCAAGTCTCTGCTCCTTTTAGGTTGAGCAGCAGGCCTTGGAAGTCTGGCAGGGCCTGGCTCTGCTCTCAGAAGCCATCCTGCGAGGCCAGGCCCTGTTGGCCAACTCCTCCCAGACATCTGAGACCCTGCAGCTACATGTGGACAAAGCCATCAGCGGCCTGCGCAGCCTCACCTCCCTGCTTCGGGCACTGGGAAGCCAGGTGTGTAGGAACAGGCCCTTCCTCACACTCTGCCCTTTCTGTACAATGGGAGAAGGGCCTGCCAAGGAACACGGAGACTTTCCTCAGACCCCCTCCACTTCTGTCCTGGGTCCAAGCGCCTCCCAGGGTCCCGGCACTGCAGTGATCTTGTACTCTCTCCTTACAGAAGGAAGCCATCTCCCTTCCAGATGCAACGGCCTCCGCTATTCCACTCCGAACATTCACTGTTGATACTTTGTGCAAATTTTTCCGAATCTACTCCAATTTCCTGCGGGGAAAGCTGAAGCTGTACACCGGGGAGGCCTGCAGGAGAGGGGACAGGTGATCAGATGCTCCCACCCTGGGCACATCCACCACCTTGCTCACCACTACTGCCCATGCCACGTCTCCCACACCACCACTCCCGACCCCCTTCGAGGGGCTGTCAGCTCAGCACCAGCCCGTCCCAAGGACACTCCAGGACCAGCGGTGACATCTTAGGGGCCAGAGGAACTGTCCAGAGTTCAACTCAGATCTAAGTATGTCATGGCGCCAGTCTGAGGCCCTGAAGCAGGAAAAATTCTGAGGAGATCAGCTTAAACTTGGGACGGTGCCATGCTGGAGAGACACCAAACTCATCTCCATGCCCTGCAGAACTGTGATGCCAGGACCAGCTGGAGGGCAAATGCCTCTTTTGCACCTACCAAGCAGGGATAGGCTGGACTGGAGAATTTCGGTGGCAAGTCATGAATTCTCTCGGTCTCCATGGGGGACTCCATGACAGCAAGATCCCCCTGGATAATGAAGGTGGTGGGAGCCATGAGGATGGGATGGGGGCTGGCCCCTGGCTTTGTATGTTTTTGTGTGTTTTTCAATCTCACTGGCAAGAAACGAAACCATAACATGGCTCTTGGCTTTTCTATTTTCCTGGGAGCCCACTACTTCCCTGGCTCTTCCCCCACTTTTTCTCCCCCCCCCCTCATCATGGCAGCAGGCAGCAGGCCTGGGAAATCAGAGGTGGAGGGAGTCGGGCCCTACGTGCTGCCTTGCATGGCCTATCTGACCTCTTGACCCACTGGGCGTAAGGCCACAAGCTCTGCCCACACTGGTCAATAGGTGGTTCCATTCAAGGCTATTCCTCTGTAGGCAGCTACCAACGCTCATTCTTTCTGCCTCTTCTTCTCTGTGACCCCTTCAGCTAATGCCACATTCCCAGCATCAGTCTTTGCCACCTCAGTGCACCAACCCCCTTTATATCCAGCTGACCGCTCTCCTTGCCTGGGGATGGCCATCGTAAATATTCTGCCCCTGGACTTGCAGAAGGGGCAGTAGACCACAGCGCCGGAGCCGCTTTCCCAGACAGCCGGCTCACTGAGCACCCCTCGGTGCCTGTTGCTGCTCTAGGTAGCTCACTTCTGTGCCCTCATTTATTCCTCACACAGCCCCCCGAGAAAGTTACTGCTGTCATTCCCGTTGTACAGAAAAAGAAGTAACTTGCCCAAGACCAAGCAAAGGAATTCCCCCAGCACTCACCCTTCCCTCTTCTGCTTATTCCTTCCACGTAATCCCTACCTGCTCCCTGCTCCTCTGGGATTGGGGACACGGAACAAACTAATTCAACCTTCATTCCTGATTCCTACTTCTTACCTAACCCTTTACTCTGACAACCAATTTCAAATTCCTTCCCAGAAATAATGCTCCCAGGGGAAAAGCAGTGGCCAAGACAGACCTGTGCAGACAGCAAAAGATGTCACAAACTGTATCTGGACTCCAATCCTGGCCATTATAGTACACTAGAGGCCCGATGCACGAAATTGGTGCAAGAGTAGGCCTTCCTTCCCTCGGCTGCCAGCACTGGCTTCCCTCTGGCACCCGGGACCCGGGCTTCCCTCCGGCCACTGGCAGGCACCCAGGACCCGGGCCTCCCTCGCAGCCCCGGATTTGTCTGGAAGGTCGACGTCCGGTCTAATTAGCATATTAAACTTTTATTATAGATATGGCAATGAGTCTTTCTGCTTTTATAGCAAAACTTAGAGAAAACTTAGAGAAATCAGCCTTTTCTCCTGAAAATATGCACAAAGGAGAGGATGTTTGTAATTTTCAACAGGAAAAAATTATGGGCAGGTTGGGGGAGTTGTAGGGTATTTGCCAACGATGTGTAGCGGGGAGGGAGAAGCTATGGTGGGAAGATGCAGCCAAGGGGTGGACTTCAGGCGAATTTTCAGCCTGGCTAACCCAGCTCCTGGCCTACAGTGCCCTCTTCAGGCCCTACTAGGAAATGCTAGAGAAATCTGCAAGCAATTAGCATCCTTACAGTTCTGACCTCACACATTTCAATAAAAATTTACATTGTGGATTCCACATGTGGCATCTGGTTCTTGACCCACTGCTGTGAATCAGGGAGGAATCTATCTTTCTTGATGAGGGAATTGAAGCTAAGAGATTTGTTCTGAAGCCCAAGAAATCTAGCTAATAAATGACAGGACTGAACTTGAGATTTAGGAATCATAATTCCAAAGCTTTGTCCACCCCTTTTCAGCCTGACTTACTGCCTATTCATACCCTGGCTCTTTTGTCCTAAGAATTCAGGGCCACTGACCCTCGACTTCTCTTCAGACTTCTTACTGCTTTCAATTAAACAAAAAAAGTAGTCAATGGTACCTGAACTATATGACCTGGGCCAAGTATAATGGGAAAGCAAGTATGTTAAGAACATTAAAACATAATTCATTTGCCCTGGCCAGTTTGGCTTAGAGCAAGCATGTCAAACTTGTGGCCGGCGGGCCACATGCCTAATGAGGCATGCACCTGCTGGCTGCGAGTTACACATGCTTGGTTAGAGGTGAGAGCGTCGGCCCACAGACCAAAGGGTCGTGGGTTCAATTCCCAGTTAAGATCATCAGTGTCAGGTTTGATCTCCCAAACCATGTGTCTCTCTCACGTGGATGTCTGTCTCTGCTCCCTCCCTCCCTCCCTTCTTCCCTCCCTTCCACTCTGTCAAAAATAAATAAATAAATAAATAAATACATGGAAAAAAATACTATCATCTGGTGAGGATTTTAAAAAGACACAACATCCCCCCCCCCCAATTCATTTATTCCGCACATATGGAGTGCCAACTATGCGCTATCTTTTGCACTAAGTGCTAGTGAAATGACAGTCTGTGGTACTCACAGCCCAGTGTATTCCAAGAGCTGGCAGTTCCCAGGAGCAAAAAGACAGGAGCTCATTAATTTAGCCATCGTCAGCTCGGTATGTGACTTGAATGCTGAGATGTGGAGTACTCAGAGGCCCAGGATGTTAAGAACCCGGGGAGGGCCAGAGTTCCTGCCAGATGCACAGATATGCATAAAGGGCATAGTCAGATTGCTGAGGTGCTTCAAGTGCAGGCCAAGATGTGAACTTTCTTCTGTACTGTTATTATGATTATGATTAACAATAATATTAAACTCTGGCGTTTACATGATCTGCTGTGATTTGCAGCACAACTTCATGGTGTAGGAAGACAATAGGTACCACCCCCATTTGTCAGATGGGAAACAAAAACTAAGTTCTGCCAGGTAAGTGATGGAACCAGCTCTTCTGACTTCCTGGTGGGACAGGAGCCGGAGCAGCCCAGCTCTGAGTCAGCAGGTTACATAATTGTTCAGTGGAGATGCCTTCTGTTTGTACCGTGCGGTATTCTCCTGGGCATCTCTCATTTGTTCTCCCAACTCCATGAGTAAGACAGACAGTAGAGGATCCCCACTTTGCAGAAGAGGAAACCAGGGTCCAGAGAGTGTATGATCCTGAGAGGAAGGGCCCAGATCATAGCCGGGCTCTGACGCTGGGTCCCTCTTCTACAGGAAGCACACATCATGAGGCAGAGGAGAGAGCAGAGGGAGTGGATGGAAGGGAGGAAAGAGCATTAGCACATCCATCTCTCACTACCAACTCCTCCCCACTCCATTCCCTGGCCTCGGCTTCCACTTTCCTCCCTAAATAGCCCAAAATGCCTCCCAATC